GGAGGATGCAGGCGGCGGGACCGCGGTGCATCTGGGTGGTCCCGCCTCCCGTGTCCTCCGCGGCGAGAAAAGCCCCGTTCGTATGTAGGGATCCGACATAAGTCGGATCCACGTAACCCAGGGACTGCCTGTATTCAGAAAAGGCGACCAATCCTTTAAATCATCTTCCGTCAGCAAATGTCTTTGAACATTGTAACTCAACAGAATAAAGATCACAGATTGGAGGTAAAGGTGCAGGAATCCAGTCCAAAGACAATACGGGATGAGACCACATGGAACTTAAATCCTACCAGTGTGTTAGGTGGTGCTGTGCTAGAAAAAGTATCATCTTTTGAGTGAGAAATTCAGTTCAAGGCTTAACCAGTTGTCATTTTAAGAACATAAGAATGGCCATACTGGGTCAGACCAAAGGTCCATCTAGCCCAGTATTCTGTCTTCCAACAGTGGCCAATGCCAGGTGCCCCAGAGGGAGTGAACAGAACTGGTAATCATCAACTGATCCCTCTCCCGTCACCCATTCCCAGCTCCTGACATACAGAGGGTAGAAACGCCATTCCTACCCATCCTGGTTAATAAGTAGTGATGGACCTAACCTCCATTAATTTATCTAGTTCTTTTTTGAATGTCCTGCTCTTCACAACATCCTCTAGCAAGCAGTTTCACAGGTTGACTGTGCACTGCATGAAGAGAAATTTCCTTTTGTTTGTTTTAAACCTACTACCTATTAATTTCATTTGGTGACCCCTAGTTCTTATGTTATGGGAACAAGTAAATCACTTTTCCTTATTCACTTTCTCCATACCTGCCATGATTTTATAGACTTCTGTCATATCCCCCTTTAGTCTCCTCTTTTCTAAGATGAAAAGTTGCAGTCTTTTTAATTTCTCTTCATATGACACCCTTTCCAAATCCTAATCATTTTTGTTGCCCTTTTCCGAACCTTTTCTAATGTCAATATATCTTTTTTAAGATGAGGCAACCACATATGTACACAGTATTCAAGATGAGAGGAAATAAGATATTCTCTGTCTTATTCTCTATCCCTTTTTAATGATTCATAATGTTCTCTTTGCTTTTTTTCACTGCCGCTAAACATTGAGTGGCTGTTTTCAGAGAACTATTCACAATGACTCCAAGATCTCTCTTTTGAGTGGTAATAGAGATGTAGCCGTGTTAGTCTGGTTTTGCTGAAACAAAAAACAGGACTGTGCAGCACTTTAAAGACTGGTTTATTAGGTGATGAGCTTTAGTGGGCCAGACCCACTTCCTCAGATCAAATTGTAGAAGAAAATTGGCATAACCATATATGCCATATAAACCCTTGTCCACAAGTTTGTTGATCTCCTCTGAGAACTTTAGAAGATTATTAAGGCATGATTTCCCTTTACAGAACGCATGTTGACTTTTCCCCAACAAACTATATTCATCTGTGTGTCTGACAATTC